AGATGTCTTTAAAAAGTAAGACTATTACCGATGAATAGCTGATAGGCTGTTTAGTTTACCCTGAAATTACCCAAAAAAGTGAACGGTCCCTTTAATTCATATATTCACCTATTTATTTATTCCTGTATTTAGTAATTCATTTCTTTATTCATTAATTTATTTGTTCATTTGTTCATTAATTTATTTGTTCATTTGTTCATTTATTTGTATATTCATGAATTCATTTTTTGATTAATTTTTTTTTAATCTTGAAAAAAATGACTTACTGTTTCTTCTCTATTGTTATTACTCTGAGGGTTGTATCTGAGTACTCGTCATCAAATGCAAAATGGGCAATTCTGAAATTATTCATATTATGATTATTATGATTATTATTGTTATAACTCTTATTACTAATTCACAAAATTCATGATTTTCATTTTTGACTAACTTTCAAAATCATGAAGAAAAATATGATATTTTATATATAAATTTCACAGTTTAAAAAGTTCGCTCGATATTTACATTTTAACGTTTTGACATTGTGTAAATAGACTTAACCCAACCTCCCCGGCCCTATTCTCCTTCCCACTCCAATTCCATAATGAAAATAGAAGAAAAATTGAATTATCGCAAAAAGAAAATTGGAGTGATGGATTTCCTTTGAGAAAGGAATTTAAATCTAAGAAGAAAAACAATGTATTTAATCTAAATGAAGAAAACTTGGGATTCCAAAAGGGCAACATCACGGTAAAATAGATATCCTGGGTTTATAGTCTGTTAGCCGTCCCTTTCGATCCCATTTTTAGCAATAATAAGGATAGTTTTGAAAATTAAAGTAAAAATCTGACTGATGTTTTTTCGATGCAGTCCGAACAGACATGGACTTACTGATCTTAGAGTAAGCTTTATCAGATACATAATACTGTTCATGTAATAAATTCATGTCTTTTGTGTATATATATATTTTGAGTTGTATCTGGATTGATACATACTTAAGAATACAAAGAGAGTTGTATCTGGATTGATACATACATCACAATACTGAGAGAGGTGTATCTGGATTGACACATACTTAAGAATATAAAGAGAGTTGTATCTGGATTGATACATACTTAAGAATACTGAGAGAGTTGTATCTGGATTGATACATACTTCAGAATACAAAGAGAGTTGTATCTGGATTAATACAAACTTAAGAATACTAAGAGAGTTGTATCTGGATTAATACATACTTAAGAATACTAAGAGAGTTGTATCTGGATTAATACATACTTAAGAATACTGAGAGAGTTGTATCTGGATTGATTCATACTTAAGAATACAAAGAGAGTGTTATCTGGATTGATACAAACAAGGAATAATCGGGGGGGGGGGGGTACTGTTCCCCTCTTTTTGCCTCCAAACACCCCCCCTCTCCCACCATTGTTTCTATGAGGTTTTTGCTTGCTTTTATAAACTAAAAAACTAGGGATCAGGAAGTTTCCTTGAATTGTTCTTTTCTTCTTGTGTATTTCACCGAACCGAACTAACCAGAAACTTTTGTGTTTTGTTTATCGTAAACGGATGATCTCAATATTCAATGTGGGGAATTTTTAAATTTAAGGATAAAGCTGAATTCCACAATGAAAGTTATCCCTGTAGTGTATGGCTACCACAGGATATCGAAGAGGAAAGCATAAGATGGAAATTAATACTTTACTCTGAGATTCACAACACAAAAGTTCCAATCTCTGAAAAGTTTTCTCAATGTTAACTTTAACAAACCAAATCCTCTTCTAACAAGTTGCAACTACAGCTGTTCATAAATTGGAGAGATTAACAAAACTTTAAAGGGAGTGTTCGAGAAAAATTAAAGATTTTTTTTTAGTACGCCTTTTTTAGACATATTCACGTAGCTCTGACCTTTCAGTAAAAGTAAAAAATTCAACCTAAAGTCTGACCGCGTCAATCTTGTTGCACCGGCTAGTCCTATGGAGTGTCTACTTTCTTTACCCAGTGTCCGGGCAATACAGTACAAACTGGTAAAATTCAAATGTACTACGACTGCCCATGTACTTGGTTCCAGGCGTTACCCGTATATTCTTAAAAACTAACCACAACAAAGTGCATAGTCATACAGGATGTTTGTATTGACATATTTTCATCCAGCTTTTGATCTCATGTTCAAAATCCACTGAATATAACGTTAAATACTCTATATAGTTTATGCTTTAATATCTCAAAATAACGTTAAATACTCTATATAGTTTATGCTTTACTATATCAAAATAACGTTAAATACTCTATATAGTTTATGCTTTAATATCTCAAAATAACGTTAAATACTCTATACAGTTTATGCTTTAATATCTCAAAATAATGTTAAATACTCTATATATCAAAATAACGTTGAATACTCTATATAGTTTATGCTTTAATATCTCAAAATAACGTTAAATACTCTGTATAGTTTATGCTTTAATATATCAAAATAACGTTAAATACTCTATATGGTTTAGCTTTAATATCTCAAAATAACGTTAAATGCTTTATATAGTTTATGCTTTAATATCTCAAAATGGTTCAGTTCAACAGAATAGTAAAATCAGCTAATTCAAAAAATGTTCACTATAACGGGTAAAAATGGATTTTGAAAGAAAGTCTCACTATCATACACAAAATTTAGAATGAAGATTAGTGAATACGAAAACTAGTAGGTTTTTCTGCTACGTTATTATATATACTATATTTACATGATCGAGGTTATAGTATAATATATAATGTATGTACAGTGTAATCCGGTCCAAAACTAATGAATTTAAGCCGAGTCTCAAATTCCCAAAAACCAGTTTTAATTGAGCGCCGGCTTAAATCTTGAAAAATTTTATAAAATTTTAAGTGGAACCAGCCATATTTTAGCCCCGGCTCAAATTGTCATTTATTTTAATGAGTTAAAAAATAGAAAAATTATTCCAATAATGCTTTTTGATCATATATCGTATATTCCATCAAATAAACAAATCATTAATATTTTGTTAACGTTCTATAAATAGACGCAAATATTGATATTAGGCAAACCTTATCTTATCTTCTGCAAACAGAGAAGATTATTATTTTATTGTTATCATTATTATTAATAATAAAAACATTTTAGAAATAGTTTCCATTTTCTTTAAAAAGACAACATTATAAAGATTTTCAAAAAAGAAAGATATATAAACCTGAAATGCTGATTGTTTGAAATAGGGTCTGTTACTCCATCCTTATACCACTTTATAGCAGGGGGAGGGTAGGCTTCTAAACCAAGGAGAAAATATACAGAAAATTAATTTTAATAACTAACAATTTATAAATAAAGTACTTGCAACTTTTTATAATTTTACAATGCCTCAATCTTTGCAATACAACCTTTGATATTTCAAAATTTGATTAATATATTTTACATATATGGAAGAATTTAAAAAATTAAATTTTGAACTATCAAACTCTACGACAAGGTTTCGGTTGCTCTATGTATCTTTTTTATTTATTAATTCCTCCAATGATTGAAAGTGCGGGTATGATCGACCATCTTGCATTAAGAATTGATTAGTACAAAAAATTGTAAGATTGTTTGATATAATCCGCCCTTAACGCACCCAACAAAGCAGTATATAAAACCATACAATAGGTTGGTTTTCCGGAGCTGCCAGCATATGGGTCCATGGCCGGAGAAAGATTTAACTAAAATTCTCTCGCAAGAAAATTAGAACTTAAAAATGGATGAACCATTTCGCCTTCCATTTGCATGTCCGATTTACAATGGTACCCTTAAACGTTTTGTCTGATTAAGTACACATTAGAGTATACAAATTTTAATGTTTTGTCTGATCAAGTACACATTAGAGTATACAAATTTTAATGTTTTGTCTGATCAAGTACACATTAGAGTATACAAATTTTAATGTTTGGTCTGATCAAGTACACATTAGAGTATTCAAATTTTAATGTTTTGTCTTATCAAGTAAACATTAGAGTATTCAAATTTTAATGTTTTGAAAACTGGTCATTTTTATTTATGGTCTCTACAACACTAACTTACTCATTTCTTGCTTCAAAGCTTTCCAAGCTATAAAAACTACGTAATTATATCATCCATATTATTTATCAGATTAAAGTAGCAAGGCCGAACCTTTGTCAATTAAGCAATGGGCATGCCAGCATGCCAGCATGCACCTCTTTTTCATGGAGGGTCACTTGAAATTACAACAGTCCCATCAATCTTTCGATATCAGTCCCTTTTTAACTCACCAATATGACACTCAAGGTCTTTATCGTACTGAAGAGCCTGGCCTAGTCGTTTCTTCTCAATTGTCACAGTGGGCTTAAACTCAACCTAAACATATATTCACAGTGGGCCTAAACTCAACCTAAATATATATTCACAGTGGGCCTAAACTCAACCTAAACATATATTCACAGTGGGCCTAAACTCAACCTAAACATATATACACAGTGGGCCTAAACTCAACCTAAACATGTATACACAGTGGGCCTAAACTCAACCTAAACATACATACACAGTGGGCCTAAACTCAACCTAAACATATACTCACAGTGGACCTAAACTCAACCTAAGCATATATTCACAATGGGCCTAAACTCAACCTAAATATATATTCACGGTGGGCCTAAACTCAACCTAAATATATATTCACAGTGGGCCTAAACTAAACCTAAATATAAATTCACAGTGGGCCTAAACTCAACCTAAACATATATACACACTTTGAACTCCCTTTCAGGCTGACAGGGACTGAAAAAATGCATACCGAGGGATTGTCTAAATTCCACTCTAATATTTATTCTATTCTCTTTGGCTTAAACTCAACCTAAACATATACACACAGTGGGTTTAAATTCAAACGAAACATATATGCACAGTGGGACTATACTCAATAAAAATATTAATTTCCAGTGGACTAAAATGTAAATATTTATACACAGTGGACTGAAGCTCCACGTAAATATTGTTACACAGTGGGCAAAATTAACTGAAATAATCCTACCTCTACATCTATATTTCTTCTTGCTCCAGTTCCAACTACATTAGTTGCAACACAGTAGTAAGTCCCTCGATGCTCTTTTTTAATCGAGTCAAACGTTAAGATATTTCCCTTAACACAGTAATCATATAATTTATATTCAAATATTTGACTTTTCTATTGATTTTTTGTTTTTCGAAGACTGAATCGGAGTTTGCTTACTTTGGAGGTGAAAATGTCCATTAAAACGATTTGTCTAGATTTTGAAAATCTGTTAGGAAACCAGGAAAATTTGTTAAAAAACCAGGAAAATTTGTTAGAAAACCGGGAAAATTTGTTAGAAAATCAGGAAAATGTTTTAAGAAACCAGGAAAATTTGTTAGGAAACCAGGAAAATTTGTTAGAAAACCGGGAAAATTTGTTAGGAAATCGGGAAAATGTGTTAAGAAACCAGGAAAATTTGTTAGGAAACCAGGAAAATATGGAAAATTTATTTAAGCTGAGAAGTGAGAATTCTAGTTTTAATTGTTCAAGGAAAAAAAGTGGGGTAATCCCCCCCCCCCACACAACTACAAAGGAATATAGAATGTTTGAAAACAATTTGTTCAAAATGTCAGAAACACAAAGGTCTAGAAATCTTACATTAAACTACCTGTTTACTTCTTAAATACTAAATTTAATGTGAAATTATAAACTACACAAGTCCATGGCTACAAAAAAGTAGTCATAAGTTGAAACTTGTGTTGACGCATTTTTCTTCTTGTTACGCAAACTAACTAAATGTTTCACAATTATTCTAATTCTCATGAAAAATAATTGATTACCTTGAAAACTGAAGAGTTAGATGGAAGGATATCATTGTTTTGTCTTCTCCAATAGATATCAGGTAGTGGATATCCACTAGCATAGCATCTTAACTCTACACGTTGACCTTCATAGGAGACAACAGATCTAAATATATATACAGGTATACAGGATATTCACTTGCACAATATATAATCAGCTATATGATATCCACCTAAGCAATATATATCAAGATATATATACTATAGAAATGGTTAGTTTCTACTTTCGTTGTTGGACATAGAAGATTTCTTCATCGTCAGCCTGTGGACGGGTTACTGCTATACACATACATCAGATCTATATTGAATTAAGAATCTGGTAAATTATGTATCCAGTGAACCAGGCAAGAAAAATTCCCCCCAAAACATTATGTGAACTGTCAGGTAAAAGTACCTTCGACTTTTAAAATATATAATATCCACTTATGCAATATTTATCCAGAAATATAGGATATCCATAATAAATATAAAATGATTTATGCTCTTAACTATTTTTTTTCGGCGCGGGGGGAGTATGTATGTTTACTTGTAAATAATCTATAGTTCTCCACGTAAATATATTAATGTATAATATTGCATTTAAACCTTATACATAGTAAATCAAATATCTATATAAGAAAACAAGACATATATATGTTCCCTATAGCCGGCCAAACGGCTGAACCGAATGGGCTGAATTTTGTTGTGGACATTTATGGGTAGTCTGCAGATGACATGGGATAATTCGAAAAAAAAATTCTGTTAAAATTTTGTTTTCAAAATTTTTTTTATAAACTTTATTTTTTCCCATCGGCAACGCTTTGCCCTTCAGCTTTTATTTTTGTAAATTGATTCAGGTGAGAATTCTGACACATTTTCAAATGATTTTTGTGCATCTAAAACTGTATTTTCTCTACCTTGTTGAGTTATCTGAAATGATCGGAGGTCGTCTCACAATCAATGGAACTTCAGCTTTGACAGCATCCGTCAGCGCAATCAGGACCTAGAGAGTTAAAATAATAGAATAAACAGAGGAATTGTTAAACATCTTTGGACCATTTCTAGTTTTGTTTAGATTATTCTGAATATTTCTAGATTTGATTTAATAATCGGAATATTTAAAGTTTTGTCTAGAAGAATTTTAGAATAAATTTTCAGTTTTATCTAGAATATTCTGAAATTCGTAGATTTTCTGGAATATTCTGTAAATTTCTAAAATGTTCTGGAATATTGTGTAAATTTATAAATTTGTCTAGTATAATCTGTATACTTCTAAATTTTTATAGAATATTCTGTATATCTCTAAATTTGTCTATAATATTCTGAAAAATTCTAGATTTTTCTAGAATATTCTGCATATTTCTAAAACTATCTAGAAATATTGTAAATATTTCTAGATATGTCTATGATGTTTCTAGACTTTTGTAGAATAATTTTCATATTTCTTAAATTTTCTGAATATTTCTATATTAGTCAAGAAAATTGAATATTTCTAGAATATTCTGAATATTTTTAGATTTGTCTAGATTTCCATGTTTAATCAAAGAAAAGGAAAAATAAAGAAATCTAATGATGGTTAGGATCAGGGCCGATAGGGATGGATTTCTTCAATCAGAACATTCATTTCTAGGAGTAGCTAAGAGTAGCAAGGAGTAGCTAATACTATATAGGAGTAGCTAGGAGTAGCTAGGATTAGCTAGGAGTAGCTAGGAGTAGCTAAGGATAGCTAGGAGTAGCTAAAAGTAGCTAAGAGTAGCAAAAAGTAGCTAATAGTATATAGCAGAAGCTAGGAATAGCTAGGAGCAGCTAGGAGTAGCTATGGATAGCTAGGAGTAGCTAGGAGTAGCAAAGAGTAGCTAATAGTATATAGGAGTAGCTAGCAGTAGCTAAGAGGAGCTAATAGTATATAGGAGTAGCTAGGGATAGCTAGAAGTATCTTAGACTTCTTTTAAAAATAAAATTTCATTGTTTTTTAGGTTTATACATACTCCAATAATTCGGCTTAAACCTTCATAACACTCCTCTCAGCTTCATCAGCATTTAGGAGTAAATAAATAAATAAAAATGTATTCTTCTCCCCAATATATAAATATCATTCATTATTTCTTATCTCATTCATATAGTTCCGTACATCATGCATAATATTATGTACACTGTACATTCCCTTACATCGTTAATGATATTATGTACACGTACAGTCACTTACATCGTTAATAATATAATGTACAATGTACAGTCCCTCTACATCGTTAATAATATTATGTACACTGTACAGTTCCATACATCGTTAATAATATTATGTACACTGTACAGTTCCATACATCGTTACTAATATTATGTACACTGTACAGTTCCTTACGACATACAAATATCGTGTCTAAGTACAGTTCCTTACGTCATACATGATATCGTGTTTAAGTACAGTCCCTTATATTATGTACGCTGTGCATATAATGCACATAATACCATGTACACTGTAAATGATAGATAAAATAAAAAAAATTATCAAGTACTAGCATCTATTTGAATAATATCATGTACGCTGTACAGTCCTTTAAATAATGAATGCTTTTATGCACATTGTACAGTCTCTTTCATCATAATAATATTATGCACATTGTACAGTCTCTTACAAGTCTCTTACATCATAATATTATTATGTACATTGTACAGTCTCTTACATCATAATAATATTATGTAGATATCTATTATGTTAAATCTCTTGCCATGTTAGCAACTATAACTGGAGGTTCAAAAGAGAATCTTGACTAAAGAAACTCATGTTTTATCATTTAAAGGGACTGTTTTCGTAATTTTATGTTACCCTCCATTTAAAGAGAGAGGCATGCCCATTTCTCAAAGGTATTAATTTTGTCAGTCCCTTTCAGCCTGAAAGGGAGTTCAAAGTGTACAAATCATGTAAATGTTCACAAATTATATGCAGTAGAGTACATTAATAAGTATGTTCCCTAGACAATCCATTTCAATTTCGGATTTTTTAAAGCTTTTAAATAAACTTTATAAAATGAATTAGGTGAATAAAAAACATCCATTGATTTATGGTTATAACGTAAAATCATCGTTTGTAAAGTGAAAGGCATAGAGTCTATGTAAAATGATCATTGGTCAATTATGAAACCAGCCTATTTCATAATTTTATAATAATAATAATAATAATAATAATAATAATAATAATGATAATAATAATAATAACAATAATAATAATAATAACAATAATAATAATAATAATAATAATAATACTAACTTGAGTGTATAAGTGGATGTACCCTTGTCGAAATCAATTGCAAACCTCGGATCTTTTAAGATCATTGTTGTTCCAGAGGTTATAGGGAGGTCATTATTTCTGAATATAGAGGTCATTATTTCTGAATATAGAGTTCATTATTTCTGAATATAGTGGTCATTATTTCTGAATAAAGAAGTCATTATTCCTCGATATAGAGGTCATTATTCCTCGATATTGAGGTCATTATTCCTGAAAAAAGAAGTCATTATTCCTGAATAAAGAGGTTATTATTCTTCGATATAGAGGTCATAATTCCTGAATGTATTCCTAAATGTAGAGGTCCTGAATATAGAGGTCATTATTCCTGGCTGTAGAGGTCATTATTCTTGGATATAGAGGTCATTATTCCTAAATATAGAGGTCAGTATTCCTGGATATAGAGGTCATTATTCTTGAATGTAGAGGTCATTATTCTTGGATATTGAGGTCATTATTCTTGAATATAGAGGTCATTATTCCTGCATGTAAAGGTCATTATTCTTGGATATTGAGGTCATTATTCCTGGATAAAGAGGTCATTATTCCTGCATGTAGAGGTCATTATTCTTGGATATTGAGGTGAATCATTCCTGGCTATAGAGGTCATTTTTCCTGAATATAGAGGTCATTAAACCTAGATATAGTGGTCATGATTCCTGGATATATAGAGGTCATTTTTCCCGAATGTAGAGGTCATTATTTCCAAATGTAGAGGTCATTATTTCTGGATATAGAGGTCATCATTCCTGGATATAGAGGTCATTATTTCTGGATATAAAGGTCATTCTTCCTAAATATAGAGGTCATTATTATTTTATTTTTATCTACTATATTATTATTTTTTATTCATTATACGTCTATTTTATGGAATATTTTTTCTACATTTTCCTGGCCAAGAACGATATATCAGGAACCCACTAAACAAAAGTACGCACAATTGTGCTATACTCTCTGACCCGGAAATTTAAAAGAGTATTGTTGAACAAAACTCCCGGGTTTCCTTTTTGGAGTCTATGCATTTGCGTATTTTTTTTAAGAGCTCAGAAAACAAAAAGAGAGTGTAACGAAACCACAAAAACAAGATTTCTTAACAATAATTTTGGTAAGTAAAAAACTGCCTGACCACTTTCATAAAACAGGGTTTCCGATACTGGGTTTCTTCACAATACTCTGTCTTAAGTAAACAAACCCAGTAGGCCAACAACTTGAAGAGACATTGTTTATCTTGCTAAAAAGGATTTTATCTTTATTGGAAAAAAAAATAAAACAGATATGTATTTTTTTAAACAATATCTCTTATCAAATTATACTAAATGTTTGAGAATCCTATAAAGTTATTTACGTTAAAGTCTTAAACTCCAATTTTCTAATTCGTATATCTTTGCAAGGAGACCTTTGATATTCAAGTCTACTAGATCAAATAGTCAAAGTTTGAAATATCAAAGGTTTACATAATAATGCAGCTTGCAATGATGTAGGGGATTCAAAAATTGGAGTTTGCTCGCCCCACCTTACATTTTATTGTTTTCATCTCCTCCCATTGGAGTACACATATTTGACGCTTTTGATTTGGAAGATTTCTTGTAAAAGATATTTAATGAATTTATCTAATACCTGTCCACACTATCAAGCTTCATCCAGACTACAGGATAGTCACTAGCATAGTTTACAGTACACTTCATCTCTATCTATACAATAGGATAGTCACTACCATAGTTTATAGTACACTTCATCTCTATCAATACAATAGGATAGTCACTAGCATAGTTTACAGTACACTTCATCAATACAATAGGATAGTCACTAGCATAGTTTACAGTACACTTCATCTCTAAACAATGGGATAGTCACTAGCATAGTTTACTCTATCAATACAATAGGATAGTCACTAGCATAGTTTACAGTACACTTCATCTCTAAACAATGGGATAGTCACTAGCATAGTTTACAGTAAACTTCATTTCTCTATATATACAATAGGATAGTCACTACCATAGTTTACAGTACACTTCATCTCTAAACAATAGGATAGTCACTAGCATAGTTTACAGTACAGCTCATATCTATTTATACAATAGGATAGTTTGTTCAATATCTGTAACTATTTCATGAAAAATGTAGTATAACTTACATTTCCACCAATATGTGTTACTTCCTTATGAAAAATTCAGAATAACTTACATTTCAACCAATGTCAATACTATCTCATAACAAATGCAGGATAGCTTACATTTCCACCTATATCTGTAACTATTACATGAATATGTAGTATAACTTACATTCCCACCAATTTCTGTAACTATGTCATAAAAAATGTAAGATAACTTACACTTCCACCAATTTCTGTAACTATTTCATGAAAAAATGTAGTATAATTTACATTTCCACCAATTTCTGTAACTATTCCGTAAAAAATGAAGGATAACTTACATTTCCACCAATATCTGTAACTATTTCCGGTTGTGTAATGAAGGATAACTTACATTTCCACCAATATCTGTAACTATTTCCGGTTGTGTAATGAAGGATAACTTACATTTCCACCAATATCTGTAACTATTTCCGGTTGTGTAATGAAGGATATAGTTGGTCTCCTGTCCTGACCTACAGCTAGCCCGGCGTAACCGGCCAACAACCATAGTAACATTTTATATCCGGATCTGATAAAAATAAGAATGATAAAAAAAAATTTAAAATTTAAAAATTGTAAACTTATGAATGAATCGGTGTTAGTTTGATAAGCAACAGTGCCAGTCTAGTTTATCCGAGAACCTGATGTTGTGAGCCTATGGCATATCAATCTATGATATCTGGTCTCTGATACATCATCTTAACACTATCAGATTGAAAAGATATGGAGATTAGAAATTGAAATTTGAAATGAGAAAATTGACGATTATCAATTTTGAAGCTGCGCCAGATTAAACGATTGTTTTAATTAAATTTTTAAGTATTTCAAAATATACGATTAAACTTTACTTATACAATGTACATACCAAACCAAACATATGCATATCCACATCATGAATCATAAAATCGAAATAAAACAAAGGTCAAAAATTAAGTCGTTATATTTTAAGGCAGTGATACACTGTACACTATAGTGGTTTGAACCATCAAAACACTACAGGGGATATAAATTTCAGAACTCAAAAATTTATTTTTAATTAAGGAAAATATGTTTTATTGTTTTTGAACAATTTTCGTCAATTTGATTTGCGAAGAATTCCTACCCCTGAAAAATACCTGTCCGCGTACCCACTACCTGTATACCTGCATTAGGGTAAAATATACAATATATATATATATATATATATATATATATATGCATATATTCTATAATATATACAACTTATATATTTTAAATTATATATTTATGATAGAAATTTAAAAAAAATATAATTAATTATGTAATTACAAAGATGTAAAAATGTCATATTTGACATTTTTAGATTATAAAATTTATTGTGTTCCATTCATTGTATTGCAATATATATTATGTAAATATATCTTTGGTTGGTTTCATTGACAATGAGCTAAAGCGATGGGGCCTTCAATTTTGTTTCAAGGCTGTCATAAAAAAATGCCTTAAAATGGGATTTGTATCAGAAAAAAGTAATATTAGTAAAAGCTCTCCAAACTCTTAAATACATAATACAGATTGTCGTTGTAAGTTTATATCAATTTGTAGGAAACCCACAAATCAAAATGATAAGTTTCCAAAAACAAAACATGGAAATCTAATTCATAGCTGATCAAAAATTGTTTTTTAAGGTGCCGTTGTAAACAGAACATGTTCGTGGGAAAAACAAACAAATTATAAAAACAATATAAAAGGGAACGTAACACGTTATAAAAACAATATAAAAGGGAACGTAACACGTTATAAAAACAATATAAAAGGAAACGTAACGTGTTATAAAAAATATAAAAGGGAACGTAACAAATTATAAAAACAATATAAAAGGGAACGTAACGTGTCATAAAAACAATATAAAAGGGAACGTAACAAATTATAAAACAATATAAAAGGGAATGTAACACGTTATAAAGACAATATAAAAGGGAACGTAACGCGTTATAAAAACAATATTTAAGGGAACGTAACAAATTATAAAAACAATATAAAAGGGAACGTAACAAATTATAAAAGCAATATAAAAGGGAACGTAAGAAATTATAAAAACAATATAAAAGGGAACGTAACGTGTTATAAAAACAATATAAAAGGGAACGTAACGCGTTATAAAACAATTTAAAAGGGAACGTAACGTGTTATAAAAAGTCTTTTCTTTTTATAAACATCGTTTATATATACGTAAAAAAAACATTAAAATGAAGTATGTATGTATTTTAGATTTTAAAATATAATTTTCTGGAGTTATGTGTCCAGAGCATGCAATATAATAATTTGCATTATGTACAAATTTCAAACGTTGTTTTGACGGTTAAAAAAAAAACTTTAAAGGAACTGTACGCATAATTTCTAGTGATATTCCATTGAATGTTCGAATCACAACGGTACCCTTACAGCTTAAACTAAATCTGCAAAATCGTTTTAAAGAAAAGTCGCCAAGATCTATTTAGATAGTTATTCAAGTTATATCTGTAAAAAAATGTGTATCATGTGGATAAACGTAGTCTTTACTATCTTCTTCGCCCTTTAGTTCATCAACATGATTTTAATAACATATGTTACCCTCTGTTCCAACCCTTACGCTGAGTATCCTCCCTCACCTCCTCCTTACCTCTTCGTGATTTATCATCATTCTTATGTTTAAAATGTACACCGTACATTGTTTTTATTTGCAATTATCATTCGTTTATAGTGGGCCAACCAATTAACAACCTACCCTGGTTACAAAATAATGGCTTTTTTATATAACTTATATAAGAAAAAAGCTGCCTTTCTGAGGTAGCTTTAAAGAAATGTACATCGGATGTCTTTTAGAGGGAGACACCGAAGTTTTCATCGGGTTGTAAATTTAGTCTAAATACTTTTATGATATCAAAAACTTGTTTACCAAATCTTACTAGTTTTCTTTGATCAAGGCACTGATCTAATGAGTTTTAATTTATTTTTAAACTTGTGCAAGTTTTAGCAGTTTCGAAAAGTTCTCTGAAAATATGTAAAGTAATATTATCTGTGTGGATACAATAGTATAAGAACTACGTAAAGAGAACTCTAGCGGAGAAATATTGTACTAACCTTTGTATATCGGTATCACTATCAACAACTTCAACACATTTTATTGATATGTTTTTGTGTGAATTCATTCAAACATAAAAAAATCGGACCCCTCCACATTCCCCGTTCTCGACAAATGTAACAAGAAAAAATAAAAAAAGGAAAACGTAACATTTTTAAACAAGAATGCAATTAAAATATAAAACAAATGTATAAATTTTGGTGTACCTAGAAAAACGCTTAACTCATAAAACACTAATTCATAAAACTAAAACGCTACACGCATAAAATGCTACCAGATAAAACGCAAGTGAAGAAAAAACGCTACTCTTATCAGATTTATATTTTCATGTTTTTAAGTTCATAATAGAATATGTAAATATTTAATTTTTTGTTCATGAATTTAGCAACTACATATATAAATTAAACATAAAATAATTCGTATCATATACATTTATTTATAAAAAACTTTTAAATTATCAATATGCTGCAAAATATATATATCTGATTAAAACATTGTCTAGCTCTAACTTCTTATGTGAAGTATATTTTTACAAATCGGCAAAGACAAGTTAGTTCTTTATGAACTTCTCAACATTGCACATTGCACAAAACACATGACTGAACCCTGATTGGAACAGGTGCTAATACAGAGCATCCCATTTCCATATCATATTAGATTATCTCCAATTTTTAACACCTAAATATATAGGCACATTATACTAAAAAAATCTAGCATTTTCTGCAACAACAAAAAATTCTATTAGCCTTATTAAATTTTTCAAAATGATTCATTCTTCTTAGATTTTCTGATTTGTCCCCCAAATCGTAATTTAGACCCATTGACGCGGTCTAATTTGATGTGGGACACCCTATTGAATCGCAGATAAGTGTGCAGGGGCGAAGTGCGTACTGCGTACACATGAATTTGTCCATGGTTGCAGGGTGACTGATTTTTATTTTCCGGGGGGAGAATCCGTTGGGCCTGGAAATCATAGCTTTTACTGATCCCAGGGGGTGTTTCTTGGGCCGCCCTTTATAAGTCTTGATCCTACAGTGATCAAAAGGTTGGAAGCTCTCATGCAAAAATCGATGAGAATTTTGCCAATTACTTTTATAAACTACAGTTGAAGCAAGTTTGGTTTAATGGGTTTCAAAAAAAGTATTAGATTCAAAAGCTAAAGCATTCCGACACTTCAAAGTTGACCCAGTCCTAAAAACCTTTTATGTCAATCTAAATCTTGTGATCTTTAAGTCTCTGATTATTTATCTGGAATTGTTGTGTTTTCTCTAAGAATGTGAACCTATTGAAGTTGTGAGAAAATACGGCGAGAATAAGTTTATATTTATCCATGAAACTGATTGTAGTTGACATATAGAGCTATTCCCAAGCAGGGCGAGAGATTATCTAGATAAAATAAATAAATTTATGAATACTTAATAATTTTTGCTTTGAACTAATTTCTAAGCAAGTATGTATATACAATTCAAGATATAAAATATTTCGTTTAAATGCGTTTTTCTTCCTCAGTCATAGGAAACAAGTGTTTTTCTTCCTCATTTACAGGAAACACGTGTTTTTCTTCCTCATTTACAGGAAACACGTGTTTTTCTTCCTCATTTACCTGAAACAAGTGTTTTTCTTCCTTACTTACAGGAAAACCGTGTTTTTCTTCCTCATTTACAGGAACACGTGTTTTTCTTCCGTACTTACAGGAAACACACGTTATTCTTCCTCATTTACAGGAAAACGTGTTTTTCTTCCTTACTTACAGGAAGCACGTGTTTTTCTTCCTCACTTAAAGGAAAAACATGTTTTTTTCATCCAGATTTGCAGAGTTTAATAAACTGAATCTTTGTAGGTTTTACATAAGGGTTTACAATCGATATTCCGTTGCACGGAATTGTGCGCAACTGTGCGGAATTACGCCTAACTGTTCTCAAACTGCGCGCTATTGGGTAGCATTGTGCGAAATTGCACGGAACTGCGTGGAGTTTACAGGGCTCGCAAGTAAAATCCACTTGCGTTGGAAACCCTAGTTTTATAGTCTTTTTAATATGAATAAAGGTAATTTCTCAATTGTGCAATTTCCCGAGCGGCAACTTCCGAAAGGTTAGGTTAGACCTTCTGAGGCGGCACAGGCTCTAATGGGGGTGGGGGAAGCGCTACAGCTAAGATGGGCTGCAGGGCCGACCACTGCGGCTAGGATAGACTTGGTAAGTTGTCGATTAGGATATTACACAGTTGGGAGGTTTCCATTGAGAAGTTGCCGCTTAGGAAAAACCCAAGTTAGAAAAGATACCTAACATCTGAATATCTACTCTCAAAGTAGAAAAGACGACCATTCACCTCAAATTTATTCATTGAATTTGAAACACATGATGTGCTTATATAACAACCTCTTACACACATAAAGTGGCTTAAATTTCGTTTTCCTATTGAACGCTTTTATGGGTCTCTCTGTATATTAGAAAAAGTAAAATAGATGATGTCACAAAATACATTTTTATAAATCCGGACAACTAAATCTTTGAAATAAGACAGCGATATTTTAAAATTTTATTTAACATAATAAAGATCAAATATAACATTCGTATAGCAAAAGATTAGTTTAAAGAATGTATATAATGCAGTTTACCAATGAAGAATCATGAAAAATATAGTAGCTTAAAGAGATTGTTTATCTACATGTGTGTACAAAGAACATTTTTAAAAATTGTGAAATTTAATATTTAGAATTCAAAATCCAGGACAAATCTAATCAAATACTTCTATTCTTAATTCATGTCCTTCAAACCCTATTCATGACCTCCAAACTTTATTCATGACCTCCAAACTCTGGTCCTGTCCTCTAAACTCTATTCCTGTCCTCTAAACTCTATTCATGATATCCAAACTTCATTCGTGACCTCCAAACCTTGTTCCTATCCCCTAAACTCTATTCCTGTCCTCTGAACTCTATTCCTGTTCTTCAAACTATATTCCTGTGCTCCAAACTCTATTCCTTCAAACTTTATACATGTCCTCCAACTTTATTCCAATCTTCCAAACTTTATTTATGTTCTCCAAACTCCTTATTACTTAATTTTCCATTTTGGTCCTCATTCTTTAGTTTCAGAACTAATGTTAGATTAGAAATAATTAAATTTGCTAAATGTTTAATTATTTAGTTCAAAATTGAAGGGAGAAGGGAAGAAGGTTTAAAATATATATATATCTACAATAAATAACACTTTATTAGAGAATAAATATAATCTATGCAGAATAAAAAAGTGCGAAAATTAAATGTAAAGAATATCTAGCACCGGACAATCTTTGCAAACTTTTCTATTGCGTGCAAATCTTTGCAAATAACGTATAATAAAGCGGTTTAACAGGAGAGTTTAAGTAAAATTTGTAGAATTAAATCACAAGCTAAATCTACAATACACAGACGTTAGATTTTTATAATAAACACTTTTGTAAGTTTATAAGTTTTTGAATGAAAGTTCAAAATTAAGTAAAAATGAATTGATCTATTTTATGCAATCTCTGTTTTATGCGAGAAAATCTAATTTAAAAATATATTTTAAATTGAATTTTTCAAACTAGGAAAGATATTGTGCCATCTTGAATATGTGCATTTCACTCGTTTTGTGCAACGCATAAAATTGTCCCAAATCAGCATCTTCTGAAGAAAACCCTGAGCCAGCAATTCTTTATACACAGTGAGACCCAAAAACTTGTGGAAAAGGAAAAGACATTTAAGCAATCTTATATGCATTTGATGTTGTTATAAAGACAAAAAATTTAAAATGGAAATGGGTCTGTGTACAATGCACAATTTATAATAGTTTAACTGGAGGTTGGTTCCTATAGTCCAGGAATAGAAAAAAATGGATTAGAAAAGTTTGAGGGACAAATATATAAGTTTGGGAGGAGATTAATCATCTTGAGGATTTTAGCCCTTTTTGCTCTCAGCATAAAAACTTTACTACTTAGAAACTATCTTGTTTTCATATCAAAGATTAAAAGTTTTTATGCATTTAATCCAAGTAGGCAGGCAGGCAGGTGTACAATTTTAAACTTTAATACGTGAATACAAGTTGAATCTATAATTTCTACAGTTGATGAGAGTAAAAATGCAGACGCGTCTGCATATTAAAAATAGTGGGAACAAGTTTATCATATAAAACAACACTCGTCACTCTATGTACCGGGTACATAACAAAAACGTTCATGGTAGCCGTGTACATCGTAAAAATACTGTGTAAACCCCCCAGTAAGGCTTGAACAGATTGATCGAGGTAGCTAAAGCAAAGACGACCTTTTAAGCGGGAAAATTTGAAGAAAAATCAGCGCCATGTTTTTTTATTTACAATATAACGGGAAAATTGTAAATTCCTACTTCAATTCAAGTGGGGGAACTGTACATTTTACGGAAGAATGGGGGAAAATAAATTTTCTCTTTTATAGCTATGGAAATATATTGTATTCGATATCTTTGCTTTTAGATATGTAGAATTTATTGAACCCGAAAAACGGAGAAAGTGCTGCAAGCTTTTAGAGGCCAAATATAATTATAATTATATAAGCAATTGAAAGGGCTAATTTGTGAGTACATTTTTATATTTAAAATGTATGCATTAAAAGTAGAATTGTTAACAAATAAGACAAATAAGAATATAAATAATATTTCAATGTCCTAAAATGCTAAATTTTAGTAGTTTGTAAGGTCAGCTGGTTTATGAAATATTTTAAATCAATGTCGAAATTCCAGTTTTTCAAGATTAAACATAGGTTTCGTATCCTGACAGCGAGGACAGATTCATCTGTACATCTATATCCTTGAGGGCAACCGTTGAGACAGCGTTGCAACCATTGACCTCCTGATGTGTAACTGCGGTAACAATATCCTTAGTGGATTCTCTCATGTGTGTGCGCGGCGAGGAAAGTGGTGCGGAGCGTAGTGGATGATTCCCAGGGGCATGGTTGCCCTGTCTAGAGAGCAAGGGGGTGCTGGGGTCGGGGGAGTGTCCATTTTGGTTTATGAAATTGTGTGAGTCATCCTGAAATAAACATATTCTAGATTCTATCATCAGATATTAAGAAAAAGTATACTTGGAAATATTCTGCAATTAAAATTTGTTCTGAGCCCGCGATTTAAAAACTTCGGCTCGAGTCGTAATTCCTTAAACCCGACTTTAAGGCACAATCTTCGACCCAACTCTGATGACAGCTTGTGTCACGTGATTGACAGCTGCAATATCTTCGACTCGACTTAAAGAGTTAGGCCCAATGAAAATAAAACCGACCTTGGTTGGTTTTAGTAGAGAATAAGGCTCAATGTTGATAATTGTTCTCATAAAAACCCGGAATGTACAAATTCCTACCATGAAAATCCGCCAAATAGAATATCAAACCGGTTTTTTAAACTCAACTCTGTGGAATCCGAAAGCTCAAGTCGTAAATAAGGCCCAACGACAGCTTAGACCCGAGCCGTATTTTCCCGAATTTTTTAAATCGCGGGCTCAGGGGTGTACACAAGGCTGGGGGGCTTTGTGGGCTCAGTCCTAATTTACCAGGTGGTTTTTTTCGGCCACAACGGCTAAAATTTAAGTTTGACAAAAAATCGTTGAACTGAAAAAGACTGAATTGAAAACCTAAGGTTTGAATAAATGTATAAGTTACAATTTAAATATTTTATTATACTTTTACAATAAGAACGTGAATCTCATATACTAAAAGTTTATAGGAGAATTTTGGCATATTCTTGATCTAAATAAGACTAAACTGTATATTATTTACAAATTCTTTTCTTCTGCTGCGTTCGGATTCAGAGGAGTAACATATACCTCCTCTTATGCTGAAATGCACCAACAATCTCTTCATTTTATATTCCTTATTTTTCCAATAACCTTGAATTTAAATCCTCTGGACTAATCCACCAAATTTTATTCTTATTAACAAGAACTTTATAATTTCCATGGCAAAAATTGACAGATTCTGTCAACTTAAACCCTAACTCGGACAATGCACTCTAAACTCTGGTTTATTTAAAGTACCCGAACGACTTTTAAGCAGCTAGCGCAAGCTGTACAGTGTACAGTTAACATACAGACTACATAAGGCAAAACAGGACTGTACACCTCGTACACCAAATTATGAATGAAACAGTCCTTTCTAGGGAGTTTCTTGCAAAAACTGACTTTTTTACTGGACCGCCTTTAACATTGTATTGTAGTGTATATACATGTACGAGATTTGGACTCTGGACTTTTCAACATTAATTTGCTTTGTGGGATAAATTTTTAGAAATAAACCGAGAGAATAAAATATATTGATTAAAGTACTGAGTACTCACCTCTTGCATATTTCTATCCTCCGAATCTGAGGCTTCGACCTCAATATCAACCTGAAATAAAATCATTTTCTGACTAAATTCTAAAATCATTTAGGTCAGTTGAAATTTAGATTCGTTCGGCTCAGCCGGTTCAGTTTTAGTTTGCTAAGTAATTGAACACTCCTTATGCAACCTAAAGTTATAGAACCTGAGCTGAAACTTAATCCCGATCGGTTAATTAATCTGGAGATAATAACAAGAGGAGAACAAGCATTATTTAATATCGAGATTAAGAAAAAGAGTGGATTCTGATATCCACCATTTAAAAGTTCCCAGCTCTGCAGTTATAGACCTTTAATATTCCAAAAAAACCGCTGTTTTACACCATTAAGCTGAACAGTTATTTTGTAAAGATAGTTTGAAGCGAGTGTTAAGATAGTTTGAAGCGAGTGTTAAATTCNTCAGGTATTACTCAATCTAAACTGTGTAAAAGTTCAGGTATTACTCAATCTAAACTGTGTAAAAGTTCAATGGCGTTCAAAAGAAATCGCTCGTTTGCAGGCTCAGTTTCGTTATCATTGGCCAACAAAATGACCGTTGGACAACAGTTTTAAAAATTTAAGGTATAGTTTATTTGTTAGAAGGTTGTAAAAGTTCAATGTCGTTTAAGGGTGGAACAAATGAAATATTTTTATAGTGTTTTGATTGATTGACGCCATGACAGTTTGCATGCTTCACGTCGCCGCCATTTTGTATTATCACGTGCACCGGAAAATGTGTTACTAAGCCGGTTATACTACCTTAATTTACTATTTATATATTCAATATCTTTCACAACTTTTTACTGTAGAATTCAGGGCGCTGGAGCAAGTTCAAACTTTTATTTAATGAAATTTTGAACCATAAAACTTTTAATGGAAGAATCTGGAATTGAGATTTAAACCTAATATTTCAAACATTCAATTTTCTTTATTCTTCTAAATGTATTTCAAAAACTGACATAAATTTTTAAAAAGTTATCAAACATATTTTATAAATTTGAAATAACATTTTAGATTTTTGATAAGGGAAGAAAAGACAAAATTTTTGGAAAATAATTCTATTTTACTGAATACAAAAATAGGAAAGATAGTGCTTGTACGAAGGTAAGAATCCCCGACGTGGAAACATAATAATTATTTCCACTAATCTAAAGCATACAAATACATATTTACAATATTGATTTAGTAATTGTATGAGAACATAAGATAAGAAAATATTAGATAATATTATATATAGTATAATAAATCAGATTATTAAATAATATTATAATATTATAACTTATGAATTCAGTTTATATACATATTTATGTGACATGAAAGATTACTGAGGAAAAAACTTTTTTTTCTAAAAAGAAAAAGAAATTGTCTTATTTATTTTTTTGATAAAATCTATGGATTGGTATTATGGAATTACTATCAAAATATGATTTTTAAATGTCTTAAATATTTAGCGACGATTTCCTATGTTGAAAAGTGATAAATTCTCTCATTTTAATTCATTAACTTTGCTAAGTCACTTATAACAAGATCTATCAAATGAAAACTTTATGCTTTGCAGACGGGTACTCCATGAGGGAGGGAACCTCCAGACGCCATGAGCCTCCACCTATGCAGAAACAAGCCTCCCAGACTAGCTAGGCAGACCGAGCCTCAGCTATGCAGTAATAAGCGTGGGCAATAAATCAAAATGTGCCTGTAAAATACGGGAGGTTTTTAAAACTTATGTTTAAAGTTTTTATAAAAGATTTTTTACAAATTTTTCGACATAGTGGCATGCGAGTGAGGTTTGTGTGGTATTTATCAAATTATCATTAATATTGCCTTAATTATTATGCCTAATAAAGTGGAATATAAAACTTTAAACAATTTTTACACGAAAAGGAAAATATTTAGAAAAAAAATGTTAATTAAATTTCATTTCATCTTTTTTAATCTTTGATTTAAGCGATATCGTTTTTGTAGTTTAAATTAAATCTAGAAAATTTGTATCCTTTATTTAAATTTCAACATTTTTCAGAAAGTATTGTTTAAATCAAAGATTACAACAAAACAAACTAAGTTTAATACAAAAATATTTTTCCAAATATCTTCCTTTCTTTGTTAGAAATGTTTAAAGTTAAAGTTAAACCACTTTATGTTTTTAATCATGACAATCAATAAATAACTCAAATCTTTAGTAAAATTCTTGTGCCACTACGTTAAAAAAATTTTTTAAACATTTTTCATCAAACATTAAAACCAAGATTTAAAAAAAGCTGTGCTGTATGGTGGAGGCTCGTTTACTGCAAAGCGGAGGCACAGTCTGCATAGTGGAGGCTTGTGTCTGCAAAGCGGAGGCTCATGGCGTTCGGGGGTTCACTTCCTCACTTCATTTGTATAAGAAATATTTAGAATATGTTATTGTATATTCGGTAATTGTACCCGTCTGCAAAGCATGTATATTCATATGGTAGGGTGGGGCGCGTCAGTTGTATCTCCCTTTTATTTCATACTCCTTGCACATTACCGGTCTCCCCCCTCCCCCCTCTACTCCCTTTTCTGAACACTTCTCATTATCAATGAAGAACCAAGTTCCCCCCCCCCTTCTTTTCTCTATATTGTTGTAGACCTTAATCAGGCCTTCCACACATATTAAACATTTATATATTCAGGGATAACTAGAAAACAATGGAATAGGAAGACGATATTATAGCAATATTTAAGTGTATTTGATGTTTTTACATAGCAAATAGTTTTACTAAACTAAAGTTTTAAATCACGAATTTACTGAAATGGATGTGTTTACACTGCACAATTGCTGTGGCTTATGCTCATTGGACTTTTAAAAGTTATAACTTGTTTATAAAAGTCGTCTTTCTATTTCAGAGTTTTCTGGTTATCACTGCATAGAAAAAAACAGGGTGCTTCTTAAAAAACGATATTTAGAGAGTTTATAAAGATTAACGAAGTAGCATAAAATGAGTCGGCTCGGAATACTCCAAAGCAAAATGGTTTCTAGAGAAAATGACTCATTTTTTCGTTTTTAAGTTGATTGGTTTCAATTGTGGTTTTTATATTAAAGTATTTATATCCTTCAGAATCAAGTAAAGAAATTTACAGAATTCTACACATTTTCATATTTTTATCAATTTTGGTCAGATAGACAGGGTGACCCGATTAAACAAAGGGATTAGCGTTTTAAAGCCCCAATGATCTTCTGAAATTACTCAAAGAAGAGCTCTAGTACATAGCTTTTAATTTTAGTAGGGGTCGTTTAATTAACATTTTGACGTTTATTACATAAATACAAGTTTACATAGTTAAAAAAGGAAGGATCGGGAGACACAAACTTATTTAAACGACTCCTTCTCAAATTAAAAACTATTTGCTTAAGCATATTTTAGAGTAATTTCAAAAGATGAAAGGGGCTAAAAATCCTAATCCCTGATTTTTTGGGTCACCCTGTTGGTGTAAAGGGTTGGAAGATTGACTTAAGATAAGACTGTAGAGTCCCTGTGCTGTTCAAATGACATTTTGAAAGCACTTGACTAAAAGTTCAAATGTCTTAAAAATTACTGCAAAGTGAATATACCCTTTGAGAGTTAGATGTAAATCTTAAAATGAATTATATTTCATTCAAGTTTGAAGATTTAGAAATTATTAATATGAATAGAGAGAACTCTTGCTGAAGAATTTAATCACATTTTTACATAATCTTCTTATACAATATTATTTGATATTTGAATTATATTGTAAAATATATAAGTGACTTCATTTAAATCACAAAATTTACCAAATATCTTTGTTTTCCATTTGGAAACAAGTCTTTGGATTTCTTCAGCAAAGACAACCAAGAAAATGGCTTGGATTAATTCCTTTCCAGGAAATGAAATAACTTATGTTTTTATGTTTCGTTTTAATATATCTGGCATCTCAGACATATTACAGACTTGTGGGATAAAAAGTTAAAAGTTGCTCTGTGGTTTCATTAGGTATGCCACAAACACTTCAGACTTTCTGTAAATTGTTTATCTAAAATTTGCTCTTGTTTTTCTTCAACATTTTGTGCACAACTCTACAAATTGTAATTAAATTTTTCCTAATTAATTCTAACCAAAGATATTTTCATTTCCAAGCCTATTTAATTAAGTCTAATTTAAAATTAATTAAACCAACAGAGGAGATTTTCTACTTCGTAACATTAAATATTCATTTTTATGATAACACAGAAAATGTTTATAAAACGTTATACAAATTAAAGCTAGTGTATAAAAAACTCAAATATATAACATTATTAAACACCTTTTGACCAACATAAACGACCTATAATTGCACCAACAGAGGGATGTTAAGTTACATAACGTCCCTTAAGACAATTAAGTGAAATAACGACCCGTTCTGCAAATCTTTCGTGAAAAAATTTGCACATTTGCATCTCTAAAGACGATAAAATTGTATACAACTTCTTTTTCGGGAATTTAAAAATATTACTTAACCACGGGTTCCCTCGACCAGTTTTGCCTTCTAAACATCTCTCGCTGCACTCTGGATGTTTTGTAGGCAAAATTGGTATTGGGAACCCTTTGTAAAGTAAATTTCCCTTAACTTCCCTGTAAAGTAGTTGTGAATAATTAATTATATCTATGGATTTATATTTAAACATATTTTCTTTAAATTTTAAAATTACAATTTTTTTCAAAATTCTATATTCATGGTTTTTATGGTTTTTCTGGCTAGACGGCTGAACCGAATTGGCTGTAATTTTTTTTATGCAACCCATGGTTCGGGGTGACATTCGGTCAGATATAATACGAAGGCGAAATTTTTATATCTTAAAGCTCAGACGGTTAATCACCCTCTCGACGCGACGGTTCAACCTTAGAGGCTGGATACCTCAGTGATGCCAGGGATGCAAACCAGATAACTTTGAAATAGGAAAACGAAATTAACGCAATACAGAGCTATAGGTCTATTTGATATTGTTAAAAAGCATATAGTTTTACTGGTAACATGTTAAATTATCTATTAATTGAAATGGGTCGATGTTTACATTTCTGTATCGCATGTACATTGGACTATCTTATCTTGAGTCTTAGAATCGCCTTTCTATTCCAGAGTTTTCTGGTTTTCATTGTATTCAGCTAAAAGTGCTATCCCATTCAAAACTTTAGCTATAATATATATTGTACTCAATAAAGCTGCTATAGAAAATATGACTTTGTTAACGGCCCTCCACCTCCCATTTTCCCCTCCCGATTTTACTTCAAAACTGGACGTTCCTGTTTTAAAGGGATGCCAATATAATTAAATATCTACAACAGTGGCGTAAATAAAGGGGGGTATTGGGGTTATTTCCCCCCCCCCTAGAATCCTGGGGGTAATTACCCCCCCTAGAATCCTGGGGGTAAATAACCCCCTCTAGAATCCTGGGGGATTACTCTCCTAGAATCCCGGGGGTAAATACCCCCCCCTAGAATCCTGGGGGTAAATACCCCCCCC